AAGGGTGGTGCGAGAGTCTGAGTATCTGCTGTATCTGGGGAGAAGGGCGGGGCAAAGGTGGAGCGCGGAAGGGTTTCTACTGATCTTGCTGTATGACCGAGAGTGGATGAAGCGCTGACGCTGTTAGAAATAGTTCGATACTGCGCGCATACCAGATAAGCCTTTGCATATCCTGGGAGCCGTTCCCTCGGATCAAAGAGTGAGGCCTTCACTCTCCTGACTCTTGTATCTCGAGTGCAGTATGCCAGTCGACTAGATGCGAGAGTACGAAGTTAGTTTATGTCTCATGTGCAGTTCGTATAGGGCCGCTTACGATGTTCAAGCACTTGGGTAGCTTGTATGCTCTGACTGCACTTTGGACAATCGTACGAAAAGACGTTCTCGGCTTGTAAGTCATGCAAATTGGTATGCAGTGATCTCACCCCATCTTTTTTAGAAGATGCAGAGGCTGACTTCGTTTCTTCCAACGACGTTTCGTGGCCGCCTTCCGTACGAATCTTTTTTGGCTCTTGCCGTTCGTTTTCATCATCCTCATAAGCATCGCGCAGGCGCTTCGTATTGGTGGAGTCTGTAGTGAAGAACGAAGTGATGCGATGATTCCGTGTGACAAGTGGCTGGAATCCGGATATGCTTACAGACAAACACGCGCAAGGCCACGCTACACCTTCGTCGCAAATCTGACGAAGTAAAGATTTCGACCAAGCAAAAATGGCCATCTCATCAACCTTACTACCCGACGGTATTGTGGCTTGTTTCGATCGCGTAGGGCCAAAGCGGCCATTAATGTGATGGTGCAGGGTAACGACAGTTGGTTGACGAGGATACTCACTCTGAAGCTCATTCAAGCGGCCCATCAGGTCCGCAGCGAATATGCGAAGCCACTTCATAGCTTGCTCGAAGCTTCCCACGCTTGGAACGAAGGTTTTTGCTGACAGCATTGACTGGACTACAAGTCGTGACGTCACAATACTGGTTTCTCTGCCACGAACAACGTTGTACACCCAGTAGCCGGACTCCTTGCCTAATTTTGCTTCCAAGTTTTCGATTGGTATGCGAAGAATATCATCCACGCGGTCAGAGCCAAACGCATCTATGACTTGTTGGCCGAGCTTTCCTCCCAGTCCACGTATCTTGGTGAGCTTGACGATTTGATTTGCTAGAAAATTGCATGTAGCTTGCGTCGGGATCACAGTTTGCCGATTAGGTTTCTTGAAACCAGCACCAAGTTTAGCCATAACCTTGTTGTGTGCAATGCCTGCGGAGCAAGTATACCCTGAATGGGTCAAGACTTCAGCTCGAATACGACGGATGATGCTGGCTCCGATATTGAGGGCAATGTCGTCCCAATCAGGCCTCGGATCAGCCTTTTCAATATCCACAACGTGATCGTCCTCCCAATCCAAAAGCGAAGAGAAACTGGGTAAGGGGAGATATTGTTCCAAGTCGTCAGGTTGCTCTCCAAGCTCCGGAAACTGCCGAAGCATAATCTGACGAACCTGAGCCGACAAATCCAGGAACACCTCATCTATACTAGCTTTCTCGACTTTCTGAATAGGCTCCTCTGGCAACAGGCTGCGAATGAATTCGAAACACTTGCGCGATCGAAGGCGATATGGATCCAGGGCTGACTTGTCAGTCGCCATATGTTTTGTAACATCTGGCCGGTATGCCCATGTTGTCTCGCCTTCTCTCCACGTTGCGACGTGTTGTAAGACAATGTCCGGACAGAGTCTCCGGGCTTCGTCTATCGATGCACCCCTTTTGAGTCCAGACTCACGTGCAGGATAGTTGAGCGCGATTATGGCATTCCACTGTTGTACGGCCAACGGTGTTGAGGACGGTAGACCTAATCTAACAATCTCGCATTGCGCGTAGAAAGCGTCAAAGTCGATTAAGGCAATGACGCGAAGCGGCGATGTGGGAGAGAACTTCTTTAGTTCGTCAAGGTCACGATGGGTGTATTGTGAAGTGTCCATCGTTCATCTGCAACTGGGCGTCAGCGATAAATGCCATACGACATGCTCCTTTCCGCAGAATCTCTCAACATGTACTCACTAACAAGCGTCTTTATTAGGAATGGCGCGACGCGAAGACCCAAAAGGTATGGAAATCATCTCGCCTATCAAATCACAACTTTGTTGGCCAGCGCGAAATAAAGCTCAGACAGAAATCTGAACTGAAGACGCTTACGCTGCTTCGGCATGACGCGATGCTGCTCAAGGCCTCGCGTTTGTATTTAGACAGCTTTCTAAGGCCAGCAATGAACCCACTTGCAGACTCAAGTTCGCTGCATACAGCGGAGGCGTGGAGGAAATAGTACCTCTGCCCAGGAAGTAGCGATTGCTGCCTATGCGCTTCGTATAAGACTTCATCTTTCCGTGGTTCGCTCGGAAGCCGTGAAAGCCGGCGAGGCTTTGATGATTCATCTTTCTTGTCGCACCTGCAGGGTACCGGGCATTCCGAGATGCAACCTATCGGCCCGCACACGATCGATCGGCAGCTAATAAATTCACTTGCGATCGCTGCAGCGGAATAAAACCCACGTTCCCCTTGGGTTCACTGGCGAGAGCGGACTCGCAGCACATGCCGTCCCCACGCACATCGACCGTTTCCGGCAAGCACCGCTGCACCATATGCAACAAGACGTACTCGACCAATAGCCATCTGCGTCGCCATGAAGCCACACGTGAGCATTTCCCACACAAGCAATCCTTCGCGGCTCACACGCGTCAGATTATGGCAGACAGGACTTGACATGTCCCTCGTGCCAGGCACAATTTTCAAGGAGGTGTGCTCGTCTTGCTTTGATTCCGCTATCGATACGAGCTGACGCATGTACAGAGACCTCGCTCGGCGTCACATGCAGAACTGTTCTGCCCGGAACCATGAAATCATCCTGCCTACCCTAAAGCGTGGTAGAAAGCGCCACTCCTGCGACAGGTGTTCAAAGCGGAAGTTGTCATGCGATACCAAGATGCCGTGTGCGCGCTGCTGCTCTGGTGGCGCGGTATGTACCTATGAACGAGTAGACCATGCCTCTTCACCTGCCACTCCACGCTCCGACGTCGATACGCGCTCTAGCCACAGCCAGGCCGGTGATGCAGGGCCTACTTCCAATGGGCAGCGTGGAGGCATCTCTATTGAATTTCTTCTCAACTTCACGAACCCATCAGGCTACCGTCCATCCGCAGTAATCGCCGCTGAAGCTGCCGAGCTCGATGATGTAGACGGTGAAGCGCGCGCTCAGCTAGATCCAACAGACCAGCAAATGGCCAATGACCAAATGTTCTTCGATTTCGCCGATGTTCCTTCGGTCTTCTTCGGCTTTCCGTTCCTCATGGAAAGGGACGCTGAGTACCCATCTCCAATGATAAGCGATAGTCTAACGCCTGAGCTCGAGGATGCCTACGCGCTGGAAGTTCGTATCAGAGAACTGATACACGAACTCTCCGCTCAGTATAGCTCCATGCTGGAACGCAATGATGCCATCCAAATGGCTTTTGACCTCCAGTTCGCAGAGTCAGTCTTCACGGTAGGAAACGTAAGACACTTTGTTTGGGCTTTCTTTCGCTATTTTCACTTCTCATTTCCCATCTTGCACAAGCCAACGTTCGAATTGCAGACGGCATCACTTCCTCTCTTGCTCACACTTATTCTGTTCGGCTCCATGTCTTCCAACGACTCGGATTCTTCCATCGCAGTACGACGGTTCTCATATATTGCGGAGGCTTACGTTTTTGACAAGCTGATTTCGCGGCAAAAATTGCAGACGCCTCAATCAGCATTCGTTAATAACGAGGAGCTTGAACTAATACAGGCGAGCCTTTTGTTCCTGGTCTTTTTGAACAACGTCAACGACCTCGCTACACGACGGCGAATTCGACTCCAGAGGATGCCGTCAGTAAATGCCGCCGTGCGAGCATCAGGCTTGTTCGCACATCGACGAAGACCCTTTATCACAGCCCAAGGTACATATGATTGGCGGGGTTTCATTGCCGATGAGATGCGATTAAGGTACTAGAAGCTGACACATCTTCCGTGTTCGTGGCCGCTAACAATAGCTGCAGAGTGGGGATGTGGACTTGCATATTCGAGACCACTATATCAATCTTCTTCAACACCCCACCACAGATTGCTACAGCTGAGATGACTGGTAGTATGCCATGTGATGAGGATCTATTCAGAGCCGAATCGGCCGCGGACTTTGAGCGCATTGCCTCACTTGGACGGCCAAACCAACAGGCTTATACATTACCCGAACTCATGTCACGCCTTCTCCTCGCACCTCCTGAGGAGAACGAAAACAAGGAGAACCATGTCTCAGCAACAGCAATGTTAATACTCATTTGCGGTTTGTCATTGCTTTACCTCGACTATGAAGTTACGACTGACCATCCATAGCGTTAATGTCTGCCATCATGTCTGCCAGAATGAATCTTCTAGCTTCTATGACTACAGAGCCTATGCTTCGCGCGACCGATCGATGGAAGCGTCTGTGGGACTCTATGAGCCACGACAGCGAAGGTAGATTGTTGCCACACATCGGGTTTGAGAAGCACGCTGCAGAATACTGGTGGCTCACAAGGACGATGTTGAGGGTCATACAATCAGGAGACCAGAGCTGTCGGTATCTACAGCTTGTCCCTTGTGACTCGGGGCAAATCTTGCATGATTTTATTCGCAAATACAAAGACTTTGCGGGATAGATACCACATTTTATAATTCACTTCAGGCTATAACATGCCTAGCGCAAGAACATTGAGCTGCCTCGTGATAATGTAGGCAAGAATATTTCTTCATTACACCCATGGTTCTTGATCACATCCACCCCCAGGAAGTCGGTAACGACGTGGCGACATAGTCTCATCTATGCGGCGGCGATTACATCCTTATGCAGCAGGCACAACATCAACAAGCGCAAACCCGTTCTTCTGTCCAAAGAACCGTCCTTTCACAGACGCGAAGGCCGAGGCCGCGAACAGCCCCTCCGCTGGAATTTCCTAGTCTTTCCTCACACTAGTGACTTCCAGGAAATCTCCGTTGTCAAAGTCAAGAAACCACTTGGTTTGGTATGTAGTGTTGGTTGTTGGCGATGTCCATACCTCGTTCGGGTCGGCAGTCGCATTGAATCGTACGATTGATAACCCGTAGTTTGTACGAACAGTCGCAAAGCGGAGAGGCTGCTCGGGATCCTCGTTGTCGGAGTGCCAGATGCTAGCTTTGACATTCGAGCCAGGAAACTGGACCCCAAACCAGGTGAATCCGCTGTCGGGGCCACTACCACCGTATTGTCGATCGTACCACGTCATTGAGCGTTCGCCGTTAACCTGATACAGCGAGTCGCCGATAGATAACGTGCCCGAGGTTTGGCCACTTGGGAGTGACCATTGCGTGGTGTTACTTTTCCCCCAATTGAAGAGTCCTGTTCCGGCGTTCAAAATCACCCTTGAGCTCGCTTGGACTGTCAAGTTGTACTTGTAGTGGTCGGTTGAACCACCTGAAACCATGCTTGCAAGATTATCGTCTGAATTGCTCGACAGCTCAAATCCTTTTCCCTTGATGCTCAGTCGGCCATTTATTGATGTGGTGTTCCCTTGAAGAGGAACTGTGCTTGAACTCTGCCAGTAAATCTCCGGGTTCCCAACGTCGAGCAAAGAGGTTCTGATGGTGATCTCATTGGTAGGAAGTACGACGGCCTGAGCTAGAAGTACATATTCGGTATCGTTGCCTGTGGTAAGAAAGTGAGAAAACCAGTAGGAGTTGAAGCCTTCGGCAGCAAGCTGGGTGTCAGGTAATGAGAGTTGCGTTGGCAGATTATTCTGGCAGGTGATGTAAGTATTCATGTTCATGGTACTTCTGGAGGATAGGAGGAACATTACATCGTATATTGTTAGTGAATTCTCTGGAGAAAAATCATAGAGAGCACAGCTCGTTGCTGTGAGTATAGACAGGAGTAGAGGAGCTCGAGTCATGGTTATCGAGGTGCGCCCAACTGGATATCAAATGAGTGGTATACCTCTTATAGTAGTGATAGCATCCCATGCCGCCAGCGCTTTTGAAGTGTTTTATATAAGAGTAATCTCTTTTATTACCAAAGCGGGTCTCCGGTATGTCCGTAGACCGGATGCTGATTATTCCTCGTACTATTTCTTTTGAAGGATACAGTGGCCGAGCTGCGGGTCCGGCCGGTGCATCTTGTCTCTGCCTCGACACAATGATTAGAAAACTAGAATCATTCTTGTAGCCTCATATAGCACACGGACCATCGAGCAATGGGATCGACGTTTTGGAACGACGGCGTTAGGGTTGATGGGATCGACCTGTGGGGCATAGGCTAAATGTTGGGTTCTTTGCCGAAATGTGGTTGGGTTCATTACCGAAACGTCGCTGCGGCGCGTCCGCAGCTCGCGGATCTAGATGCCAGCGCCCGCGGAATCCGACTCTTACATGAGCTCCGTTAGTGAGTCCCTCTACCAAAGGCATATGGCCCAGACTTTGCTATGGATGACGACATCAGCGTGTTGATTAGTGTTTACATATAATGATGTGTCTGCCGCAGTCCTTCTCATGTGGGCCCATCCACGCCGTGACCTGAAAGATTCGCGACTGTCTTTAGCCCTTACTCTATAAAATGGTGTTGCGACGATCGGCGCGGGCGGCTACACGTACGGCTCAGCAGGCAGCAAACAGTGCAGCAAAAAGGAGGTACTCCGATTCCTCGACCAGTGAGGAGACCCTTAGCAAGCGCGCCAAAAGTCAAGCTGCAAGTCGTTCTGCAAAAAGAGTCGGTACAGCGCAGGATTGGGGGCAGAAGAGGAATCAAGACGAACAGACCAGAACTAGCAAGAGTGACAGTACCAAGGCAGACGATGAAGCCGTGGCGGAGAAGAAGTGGAAGTCATGGTCAGCCCACGCAACGACGACGCCGTACCCTGATTTCGGCCATCCTACACACCGCGAATGCCAGATAGCATACGATGTGCTGCACAAACTGCATAACGACGCTGTGGAGGCTGAGATAGACGAGCACACACCTGAAACAATACCGTTCGTTCTAGATGCCATGATTGTCGCAGTCCTCAGCCAAGCGACGAATTGGAACAACGCAAAACGCGCCATGGATAGCATGAAGGAAACGTACGGCTCGGTATTTGCATACGACAAGATACATGCTGGTGGACCAGACAAATTACAAGAGACTATTCGCTGCGGCGGACTCCACATTAGGAAGACCAAGATCATCATGTCCATCTTGGATGAAGTCAAGCGACGATACGGGCGCTGGAATTTAGACCATCTCCTGGAAGCAAGTGACGAAGATGCCATGAAAGAGCTGATGAGCTACAAGTACATTGGCTCAAAGTCTGCTTTTGTCGTCATGGGCTGGTGCTTGAAGAGAAAACGATTCACTGTGGATACGCATGTCTATCGCATAGCTGGCTTGTGGGGCTGGAGACCGAAGGACGCCACTCGTGAGAACACACAACTACACTTGGATGCGGTAATCCTAGCCGACCTTAAGATTAAACTCCACTTCTTCCTTATACAGCACGGACGGACCTGTCCTGCCTGCCGCGGTGGAAGCAAAGATACCACGGGCTGCGAGGCGCACAAGGAAATAAAAAAGCAGCTCAAGCAAAAATCGTAGAATTGCAGTATCCTGTGCTTATATAGTGATACACCTTGTACTGTATGCCCTTTTGTAATGATGTACAAGTGTTTATGAACCAACCTAAAGCAAAGCGACGTAGTCAAGACTTTATGTTGCTGTTGCGAACACGAATAACCGAGCGCGTCAACCCAAGAAGTTAAGACGCCGGTGAGCAGATACGAGAGAATGGGAGTGGGCGACACGATTGTGATGAGCAAATGGTAGCCGAAGGTACAGAGAATTATATTCTATAGAGGAAAAGTGATGTAGTAGTCACGAAGTTATGATACGAACGATCGAATCAAATGATTCGCACCTCAACACTTCCTAGCTATTGTATGACTGATTGGGAGTCTGCGGCCACCAACTTGAAGCCAAGCAAGGATGACCGTCTATCTCTCTGGATGTACTCTCGACATCCACATGTGGTTGGCGTGGCATGCGCGAAAAAGCTGAGGCTTTGTGCGTGCTGTCCAGCAACACTGTCGAGGTTCTCGGTGTCTCAGGCCACCACCCAGAAGTCGAGCATAAGTTCCTTCCAGTGCTGTGAATGAAGTCCACAGGTCTAGTATTCCAGCTCGGAGCTAAGCACGCATATCTATGCTTGTTGTCAAAGGTTACGTTATGTCTCGTGCCTTCATTCTCACTGACCCTAAGCGGCAACTCTTGTACGCCTAGATATTTTCTTTGCCATTCTTGACCTGTAGCTCCCGGATGAGGCGTTCGCGTTTTAGGCGGAGGCTCGGTGTTGACATCGATCTTCTCTGTGTAGCTTCCTGTTTTGTTTTCGTAATCCAACTTCATGACCATTTCACCGTCTTCGGCTTCGAAACGCACGCGTACAGGAAGCCAATCCGGGATCTTCTCTCCAGCCATAGTATCGAGGGCTTCCAGAAGGGGTTGTTCATCGACGACAGAGACGTCCCACTGGATGTGTATCAAGTTACATTGACCTATGACCCAGGCCTTCATACGTTCTGCACGTGATAACTCCTTCGCAATCTCGGGGTGGATGTCTGGCGAGCTGGATCGTGATCGCTGAGTAGAAATTCCTCGTATTGTACGGTGCCATGGACCAATCGTCATCTGAAGCGGCGTGTGCAAGCGTAATGTCACAAGCGGTAAATCTTGAGAAACAGAAGCGGCCCATCTCAAGGACTTTGCAATATGTATTGCGCTGTCGACATCAATGATTCGTAGTTGCTGAGGTGATGGAAGCAGCGATAACCCTGCCTCGATGGGGAAGTGTCGATACAGCGTGTCCGCAAGACCGCAAAGCACTGTCTGCAACATCCAGTATCTTGTGCAGAGGATCATACTTCGCACGGAACTGAACTCTAGCGTATCCGGCATTAGGTCAGCGACATCTGGTGATGGCGGTATGGGTACCGCAGAGACTGATGTTTGCATCAGTTCAGATACGTGTTGCGAGAGATCGATTTGTATCAGACGCTCCATGTGCGACATGGCGGTCGCAAGGGCATTGGCGTCGTCAGGGTTCGAGATAGCGTGCCGAACTAAGGATACTGCGTAGGGGCACTGAATGAAGACGTGCATGATGGCCATCGATGCTCTTTGCGATGGTGACAGTATTATCACGTCTGAATCGATTGGTGGAGGGTATGTCGCTGATAGATAGAATTCGTTATGGTATACTGACGTTCGGCCTGCTAATATCGCCTCGTTTACCTGCTAACATTAGCACCGAATGTCAAAGATCAGAGCGACACTCACGTCATCAATATAAGTGTTATCGATCAGATCCCAGAAATGCTCGTCATCAACATCCGACACAGATCCTGACCTCAGCAGTTCGGCGAGGCCAAACGCATGTATGGCGTGGTACATAGTATCCAGCCCCAAAAGAGCCTAGGGGGTTGTCAGTGAAATTCTAAAGCTCTCAATATGCAAGCTTACTTCCGCAGCGTAGTGCAGTTTTGTCGCTAACAAGACATCGTACGTTGTATTAGTGTTAGTGCTCATTACAACGAGCTGCAGTTCCTTCAGTGCTTTGGCTTTCGACGCTTTAGCGACCTTGCGCCTCGAGTGTGTATCATCTCGAAACGTCCCATAGCTGTCGACTAGAAACTCAACAGCAAGGTCTAGCATCTTGTTCGAGCCGATGCGCGAAGGTATCGACTGTATCCAGGTTCCCAGTATCTCAAAAGGTTGCCTTCCTATAGGGTCCGGTCCTAACATGCCAACATATCGGGCGATCAACGTGGTCTCAGGAGAGGATGGCTGGTGAGCTACGAGTGTGTTCTCTTCGCTTAGTTTCCAGAGGTAAGCCTCAAGCGCACGTTGCTGTTTGTTTATTTTCTTTTTTGACAGATGGCTTCTATACTTCGAGCGTGGCGCCAGGGTCTGGAAGTAACCTTGTCCATCCTCGGCGCGCCTTTCTGTTGTAACACACAGATTTGGAGGCGTTGTTGAAGGCGAGGTGAACTCTTCATCAGAAGGAGCCAGCGAATATGTGATGGGTGTGGTTCTTGATTTTCCATGTTTGGTCAGCTGGTTTGGGTCCTGCACCACAAACGCCAAAGCTTTTCCGTAGGAATAGGTGCATGGTCGGTCTTTCTTCTTACATGAGCTACATTTGGGTCGCTCCTCATCACACTACGCGATTATTAGCACAATCTTCATTCCATTCCAGATGGTTTGCTATGCTTCGCGGCGCTTTATGTTGCTCTCTGTTAATGGCGGGTGCTTTACCTTGACTTTCCGCTGACGACACGTGTCGCATTTTCCAGTTTGTGTCATAAGAAATGTGTTCAGTCTATTAGCGTTATCAGAGCCTCCAGAGATCCTAGATGCGCTAGACCTTTGTGCTGGATGTACGACAAAAAGGTGCCTGCAGAACGTGGCTGCCTGGTTGACGATCGAGTCAGATGCGGATACACCTCCACAGTAGGCAATACAGTCGATCAAAGTTCATGAACCGGGAGTTTACATAATCCGAAAATATACATAACTATTCGGGCAGTTCTCTGAAATGGAATCGGGAATGTTGATGGTATGGAGGGCGCCATCTGTACACCGCGAGTGGCGAAGATCCGGGCTGAATCAGCGTAGCCAGATGTAGTTAGCCTCTCATAGTCCACCGAAGATACCCTCCCACCAGACCGTCTTCCACAGCTCTTTCTTTCAGGATATAGCCCCCAGAATGCCTGCATCGGTATGCGAGACTGGGATATTTGATTGCATTGTTTCTACCGACTTTTACTCGACACTCCACCATTTTGAGCTTTGTCAAAAAACATAATGAAATTGTGCCTGCGTGGGAGGCATATCTCGTTTATACTGTCTTTACCTTCTCAGCTCAGGAAGTGTGCTTGTATTATAAAAGACCTGATAATACCTTAGGTTTGATAACACAAGATAATAGTACAGGCAGAGAGAATTCATGAGCTATGGTTAATCAAAGCGCTGCCAACGCTTTAAGCGTCTGAGCCACGCGATCACGTTTACGCTATGATAGGGATCAGTTCCAACTACCAGATGGAGCTCTCGAATCAGAGTACGGCGAGCCACTGCTAGACGTATAAATCGGGACATCCGTGTCGTGGTTGGGTTGCAGCTGTGAAGAATTGCAAAGAGGTTTGACGTTCTACATTTAGACCCTTCACGCAGTCTCCCTTCCGATGCCTGCCTTGTACCGTGCCAGACACCTTTCTCTAGCAAATTTATGCTCAACTACTGGCTCAGGGTAGCCTTTCGACTTTGCGGCTTGTGCCGCCTTCCCACCCGCACCATAAGGGTTATGTATGGCCGGCCCCTCTATCTCTTCAAGTTCTGGAACCCACAATTTGATGAACTCTCCCTCCTCGTCAAACCTCTCGGACTGCGTCCATGGGTTGAAGATTCGAAAGTATGGTTGGGGATCTACGCCAGTCGATGCACTGAAGCCCCAGCCGCCGTTATTCGACGAGAAGTCGCCATCAATGAGATGTGTGAGAAAGTATTGTTCACCAAGACGCCAGTCCAGCAGGAGGTGCTTTGCAAGGAAGGAAGCTGCGATCATGCGAAGGCGGTTGTGCATGTAGCCGGTGTGATTCATGCAACGCATTGCTGCGTCAACGATTGGGTAGCCTGTGCGGCCTTGAGTCCAAGCCTGGAAGTGGGCGTCATTGTATTCCCATTCAATGTTCGTGTATTCGAACTTGAAGGGCTTGTTCATGCTGAGGAAACTGTTAGTTTCGTTGTAATACCAAGACTGAGATGCAAACTATACCAGACGTATGGCCAGTGTACAAGCACATGTCGATAAAAATCACGCCATGCAACTTCTCCAATCCAACCTTTGACACCATCCTTCCCACCATCGAGCTTTTTCGCGCTATTGACATCTCTTGCCATACGTACACTGGTTCGGGCTGCTAGCGTGCCAGCGGCGTGATGTACGCTCACGCGTCCCGTGCTGTTCTTCGCGGGGAAGTTACGAGTATCCTTGTATTTGCCGATCTTTTCGATTAAAAAGCGTTCGAGGCGGTCAATGGCGGCGGCCTCGCCTGCGGGCCACAGGCGGTGGAAGCGTTCTTTTTCTTCTTGTGTCAACGACTTGCAATCGGGGAGGTCGGGGACTTTCGAGTCAAAGAGCTGGGTGAACTTTTGGCGGAAATTTGGAGAATTACGTTCAGGTATCGGTCGCTCATTCAAGAGATGCGGGTGCGCGTGTAGATACGCAACCCATGCCCGATACCAGGGGCTGTACACGGCGTATTGTTTCCCACCTCCTGTCTTGAGACTTCCGGGCGGCACAACACAATCATCGTGTTGTGGGTCGAAGTTGATACCTTTCTCCAGCATCTTACGTACTAAACGCTCTTCTCGCCGCAGCTCGTCGGGTTCATATTCCAGGTTGCAAAATACGTTCTTTGCATTCCAGCTCTCAGCCAGCTCCACCAGTCGCTTTGTCACGTTCTTCCTCTCCGCAATTGTCTCAACATATAGCGGAATGTCGAATTCTTCGAGCTCCTGTTTCAGTGATTCGACCGAACGCAGTTCGAAATCACACTTGGGTGGGCTGACCAGATGAGCTTCCCAGTCTTGTGGGCTCATGAACCAGACACCTATTACACCCACACCCTTCGCTTTGGCCAACTGGGCAGCCTGCGATAAGCCTGTATTATCCCGTATCCGCAAATCCCTCTTGAACCAGTGAACCACGGCATCGCCAAATTGCGCCTTGTTTGCTTCCCGGATAGCCATGCGCCTATCTTTTGTGCTCTCTAGCGTCTTTGCCAGTATTTCGATGGGCCGCGGTATCTCGTTTGCATTGTACAGGGCGCATCGCTCATTGCTCATCTCAGCAGGGTAGTATCGTCTGTCAACTATCCCTGCTCGCTCTTCTGGCCGCGAATGATCAAATTCGCCTTCACCTTCTTCTTCTTCTTCTTCTTCTTCTTCTTCTTCTTCTTCTTCTTCTTCTTCTTCTTCTTCTTCTTCTTTCTTTACTGCCTCCCCAGGCGCTCCATTCTCAGTATTTCTCGCTATCGAATCTATCGGTGGCGCGCTGTCTGCGAAGGCTTTCGAAAGGGGTTTAGCAATGCGCGAGCGCTTGTTGGGTGCATCGCCGGATACATCGGTGTAGTTTCTTGCAGATGCTGCATTGGGTGGGATACTGGCTTTACGTTTTGGTGGCATCGTGGCTACCTAGGTAGGCTCTTCGCTGAGATGGCTGGGCAGGATGTAATGCGCGTGGAGGGGCTGACGCGTGGGATACTGTGGATCGGATGTCGCGAACGTGCGAATACCATGCGCATTCGAATAAAGAGGAATTGAGGCCATGGCTGCTCTACTGCCCTCGACGCGTTCAGCTTTCGCGTGTGTTTAGTACCGATCGATGACGCAGATAGTCCCTGAAACATGGAGGGTCCAGATCGATGTCAGATTAGCGAGCCAAGCCCTGCATGCAGCCTGCCACGCGACTTATGCATCACACACACTTCGTTCTTCTATCGTCAAGAACAATGAGCGTATATACCCTAGGTGGGCAGCCGATACTTATCAAAGCACATCATCATAACTACTGAATTGCGCATAATCTTCTCAGGGGTACTGACAACTTCTAGTGCAATCTCAGGGGACATTATCGCGTACTCAGGACCAATTTCGCGCCCTGTATCTACCTTGACGGGCAGTCGGTCGTAGCTATGGATGTTATGCACTGCACGAGATTTCAGTTTCTCGTCTCCTATTGTCACAACGGTTACCAAGACTCGTGTCCACGTCGCCCTTTTCTCCTCACCGACTCAGTTCAAGGTTGCTCAATCTTGGCTTCCCCGCAGTTATACAGTCCCTTCAGAAGCCACATAGAGACTGTCCCGACAGGCCCGACTATGCACAATTGTTCCGGTGCCAATCCCACATTTCAAGCTGGATATATTCTTTCCGCCCGCATATCGGACCGACTTCGTGCAATCTACTAATCCATCTTACAAACGAGCTCTTTGCATGCCGTCAAGTTCCGCTAGATGAATCTGAAGATGCCGTCGGCTTCTACAACAATGTTAGAGATGCCGTCGGCATACACGGGGTAAATATACGTTCTATTCTGTCTCGATTCTTCTCTTGGCCCATATCAATCACTTTCTCTACCAGTCGAAGATGGCCAAGACCAACGCCCGATTATTGTTGCTACATCTTTTGGCGTGTCTGACAACTGCTTCCGCTCTTCAACCAACTGTCAAAACAACAAATGGCACGCTGGTTGGAGTTAGAAATGCAAAATACAGCCAGGACTTCTTCTTAGGCATTCCGTATGCCCAACCGCCCATTGGAAATCTCAGATATAAGCGTCCTGAGCCCCTTCATCAGCCTTGGGAGCAGCGGAATGCTACCGAAACTGGCCCATGGTGCCATTCTTCGCCTCTTACGTTGCCCGTGTTCTCGCAGACCGGAAACTCGCACGAAGAAAGCGAAGACTGCTTAACGCTCAACATTGTACGGCCAGCCACTGCTCATAGCATCTCCAAATTTCCTGTCCTTGTCTACATCCATGGTGGAGGTTTTCAGGAGGGCAGCGGCGCGGATCAGAGATACAACATGTCTTTCCTGGTACAAGAATCAGTTGGCGTTGGAGCGCCGATCATTGGCATCACCATCAACTACCGACTTTCTGGCTTTGGCTTCCTATCTGGTAGCGCGCTACAAAAGTCCGGCGTTATGAACCTAGGACTGCATGATCAACGAGCAGCACTCGGTTGGATACAGGATAATGTCGCCGCTTTTGGCGGTGATCCGTCTCGAGTAACAATACAAGGCGAATCTGCGGGTGCACTATCTGTCGGATATCACTTTCTCGCTTATGGGGGTCGTGACGACGGCCTTTTCCGCGCAGGCATAGCCCAAAGCGGTGGGCCGGCATCGATTGGTCGAGTTATAACTTTGCAACAACAAGATAGCCTCTACAATGACGTACTCCACCAGACAGGCTGTATCAACTCAACTGATACGCTTGACTGCTTGAGAGGTGCTCCTGTTGAAATGCTAAAGACTGCCTTCCAGGGCGTGTCATACTTTCCTGTTCAGGACGGAGACATGATCTCAGAAAATCCGTTTGTGGCTTTGAAAGAGGGGAGGTTTATACAGCGGCCTATACTTTCTGGTACAAACACCAACGAGGGAACTTCGTTCGCCATTAGCGAAGGCTTCAGTGTAAACAGCACCACCGAGTTTCGAGCGGCAGTCGCAAGATATTTTGATCAAGGCGTAACTTACACATCTGTTGACGCTATAGCCACTGAGTACCTCGAGGAACTATCGCCAGAAGAGGTTCAGTCTTCGCTTGGCAGTGTACTGCCATCCCCCCGACCGAATTATGGAAATCTCTACGGAAGAGCCGCCTTGTTCAGAGGAGATCAACTATTTATCGCCCCAAGGCGCTTTAGTACCAAGATGTGGGCTAAATTCGGCATCCCCGCTTTCAGCTACCGTTTCGATACGGTGCCCAGTGGTGTTTCGCCAGAGACTTTAGGTGCTGCTCATTTCGCGGATATTCCTTTTGTATTTCTCAACGTTGATGGCGTTGGACATGAATTCAACTTTCTTGCATCCAACGTCACAACGTCACGCGACGAGTACCTGGAACTAAGTAAGCGTATGAGCCTAATGTGGTTGAGCTTCGTCAACGAGCTCTCGCCAAATGCTCGTTTTGGTATGTGTACTAACGCTCGTAATTCTACAAACTGGTATTAACGAGGAACAGCACTGGATTCCGGTCTGATCTGGCCAGCATACACAAACAGAAGCGGTACAAACATGGTGTTCAGAAAACATGGTCTAAGTTTGGAAGATGATACTTGGAGGGCTAGTGCGATCAGTCGCCTGAACAGCGCTTCTGCAGGCTTTGAAGCTTAGCAGATGGTGATTGTCAGGTTAATAGACTTGGTCTCATCTTCGGTGGAGAGCTGATGTGGACCACCGATCTTATGAGGCGGGTTCATGTTCACCTACTTGTATCCACAATGCCTGCAACGTATCCTACTATATGCGCTCGTCCGGAGTCTTTGTCACTCCGCTACATGAAAACCCCACGTCGACTTCGTCATACCCTGGAAGTAAGCGCATGTAGCGTGATATCCTCGTGACAGAACGCGCACGTGTAGTAGTGACGGTGTGAGCTCAGTAAGACGGAGATTTCACCGGTCGGAGAGAGGATTGGAGCTTGGCTGAACATTATGTTGGTAATCTGGAATCCTCAGAGGTTGCTTGCTTGCTGGGTTTGGAACCAGTTATCTAGTTCCAGTCATTTAGCTAGGTGTTATATAAGCAGTAGCACAGACGAAGCCTTTAAATTCTTGGTGGCGCTCCTGAAATTCGGCTCTGCTGCACTGCCATTGGCCCCCAAAGGCCTTCCACCTTAGCCGTTAGGGCGAGGCAGACATGATTGGGATACGAGTATGATGCCAGGACCAATGCCAGAGCTTCGCGAAGGCTCTCTATTTATGGCTGAGATAAGCCGCTGATCTCTGAGCGACCTGGGCTTTGGTGCTCCCAGCAGATGGCCATAGGAGCCGGCCGCGGTGGAGGAGCATGGGCGATGGGAACGATGCGTCATCGCGTGCCGCGACGAAGAGCGCAACTATCTAAGAAGGAAGACTAGAAGAGCGACGGTTACGAGCAGTAACGGTGTTGGTGTTGGCGCAAGGCAGCGGTAAGGACAGGTCGGCAGGTACAAGCCGCGTGTAGCGAATCTCAAGCGGGGGTCATCCATGCGCCATGCTGCAGTCGCGAACAGCCAAACGTCTCCCTTCCTAATTTCATCGCTACTGTCGCAATTTCCTCTTTCTCTCAAGTTTCGTCGCAGATGATCGAGGGCCTTATTATGGCCAACACCGCCATGGTGGCAACCTATAGTAAGCCTCCTTCTCGGCCCTACGAGGCGTCCCACGAACGGAAGTTCTAACCGTGCAAGCCAAACTACACCATGCCAGTTCCCCACGCACAGCCACTTACCTACGGCATTGCTCACGATGCGATCCGCTTGGTTGAAGCTAATGAGCAAGATCGAAGCCGACAGTGGGAAATGGCTCGCCTAATACACCCAGTTCAATTTCCCGTGTTGCCTGCGATGCTGCCTCGCACCTAGATACCGAAATGGGTCACTACTCAGAGACATGCGAGAAAGCTTAATTGAGCCTCATCAGGCTTCCCTCTGACTAAAAGAAGGCGTTGCTCCAATGAGTATTCTTGTACACTACGTCGAGCGGGTCACGGCCACCAAACATAGCCCTTCATCCGAACTACACGTTCTGGCCGAACTTACAGCGTGGCTCTAGCGCGTCTTCAACTTGCAAACGACAAATCCTACTCGCTGCTGAAGAACTGGAAAGGATCATGGGGCCAAATCGAAAGAGTACAGTGCTGCTGGGAAGGCAGTGACTTCGGTCGTGAGTCGGTGGTCGATAGCTGGGAAAGCACAAAGCTCGTGCTGAGGTGGAAGGCCTCATATCATATATAAGAGTCAGAATGGGAGACCCTCTGGGTCATATACATTATCGAAGCCATGGAGACCCCCGTTTCACCAGCTCTGACCATGACCTCTATCCGACCCCATTCTAGCGCTATAAACAACATCGAGCATTCTTCTCTAGCCGATTTACATTCTTCTTTAACTCTTCATGTTGTGTCTGTCCTCAACACTCATGCTCTTCTTTGCGAAGTCTACAGTCTACTCTGGCAGTCCGTCCGGTCCGTCCAGTGCTCAAGTCAAATGTCTCATCGAAGAGAGATACGCACAAACTCCACAAGATCAGGCTCCAGAAACGACGCTCGTCAACATGGTCCTCCAGACCCAGAACCGCCGGCAGCACCACCGTACGTATTGTATCCTTCCGTATCAGCGCTCATTCATCATCGAACGAGTCATACCAACGTTTTGGCCGTTTCATTAACCAATTCCACCCAGAATCATCATCCTTTCCCAATCTGGCAAAGCACAAGCGCCCCACTTCCAGGTACCAGACCCTGCCGATCAGCAAGTCCAGCCGCAACCACCTACGTCATCCCTGTCGTACGTATGCATCCTTGCTAGAAACATCTATTATTGGTTCTCTTCTGTCTTTCAACTTCTGACTCTCTACTCTATAGACCAGAAGCCTCACCAGACGAGCTTGAAGCTACCGAAACTTCGTGCCCACCCGACAAACCCGAGCCCGAACCGCATCCAGCACCGCCGTAAGTATCCAACCCATCCTAAAGCATGCATGCGACATGTCGCGAACGTCCAGGCACGATCGTCACGCAGCATAAACATTAACCCAACCCCAGTGTAATCATCCTACGCGACGAAACACCCAGTTCGTCCCCACCAGCCTCCGCGCCACCCACTTGTCCCGCTACAACACACACACCCCCTACGATGGGCTCCAAAGTCAGCAAAGTCAAAGAGCAAGCCTCGAACGGGAAGCTTCAGCCAAGCCAAGAGCGTCTGGATAAGGAAGAGATGAAGGAGCCAGACAATTATTACACACATCGCAGCAAGAGCATGCGTCGGAAAGCTGGCAAGACTGGAGCTAGCAGTGGCGCCGGAGGTGCGCAGGGTGGTGCTGGTATTGCATAAATGTTCAGACAACAATTTTTTTTTGGATCACAGAATAAGAAGTTGCATGCAAGATGGAGGCAGATTGACAACACCCGGTAGACAAGGGCATGGCTTGGGGGCGTTCAGGGTTGCTTTTTTCCGGGAATGTAGCATAGCGACGCATTTACATCGGAATTTCACCTCTTAATCATCGCATGATGGGTGGATCTCTTTGAGCAGTAACCTTGGTTACTTTTTCACAGCGCGAAGACTACTTTTGCGAATGAATACATTACATTACTCAAATCTTCTATCATAGGTCAGCCCCTACCATCTTCAATACTTAATGCATGGTTGCGTTACCACCACCAACACGATAGCTCTCAGGTGGACCGTTGTGGCTGTATACAACTCCACCCAGATCCAACACGACCTTCTGCAGGATAACGTTGGCCTCGACTAACCAAAGCTTCAAAGTGTGTTTCCCTGGAGCAAGCTCGCCATGGTTGGTAGTGTTATACCACGCACTGTCCGCAACAGCCTTGCCCCAGCCAACAGGGAAGTTGGGCTGAGGCTGGTCAATGACGAATTCGCGACGCGCCTCCGTCTTGTTGTCGACTTGTGCGATGTAGGCAAGGGGTACCTTAGGGTTGATGTTGTGGGTAGGTGTAAGAATAAGAGTGACATTGAGTCCCTTGGCGGATGTTGTAGGAGTGAAGGTGACGAAGTCATACTCTAGACTAGGAGCACTGGAGGAGTCTAGGCCTTCGGCGAGGTTGTCTGTGAGCTTCACACCAGAAAGGGTGCGTCCGTACTTGGGCAGAACCTGGTAAGAATGGTCGGATGAACCAGGGGTAGTGCGCGTGTAGTGTTCTGCTTCGAAGGCGAGCTGGCCAGCTGACTCGACGAAGCCAGCGTTGAAGTCTTCTGGAATGGAAGTCTTGTTGACCATGACCATGACTTGTGGGTTGCCACCCTGAGTACCGTAGTCGGTCGAGCTGGAGAAGTTCAGCTTACTTTGAGCACCGAAGCCGTCTTCAACCTTGCTCCAATCGACGTCAACGTAAATGCGGATGTCCTCGTCGTTGGGCTGCATGGTTCCTTTGACTTGAGAGAGCGTGACGAAAGGATCGGCGCTGATATTCCACGAGAATGGTCCAGTACCACGGTGAGAGATCTCAACCCATCGCTTCGGGGTGAAGGGAGTCATAGCTGGAAGAGTCAAAGAGGATGCACCATTGCCGTGCCACATGTCATCACCAGGAATGGTAGCGTTGGAACCTTCGACCGAGACACCCATATCGCCTGCTAGCGAACGCTCCTGAGTTTGTACCCAACGAAGGTCAGGAGTAGATTGGCGCATAGGTTGTTGCCTGTTATGATATCAGTATAAGCACAACTAACAGAAAATGTACCGAAACTTACCAGTATCCTTGGTAGCCCAAATGGGTTTGGTCCATCATGTGGTCCCACTTGCCATTGAGCTGAGTGTGGTAGAGCCTTGTAAGGTTGTGGTCCTTGTTCATGCCATCAATCACACGCTGCATCCATCTGTTCGCGCTATTGCGACCCATTTGCGCGTAAATGATGTTCCTGGCGCCGGAAACCTGTACATCGACATGATTGCCACCAGCAAGCACGCGATGGAGGATGATCTCGTAGAAAGCGGGTTGTTGCTCGGGAGAAAGTGCAGCATTAACTTCGTTGGCTCGGTCTGCGAGAGCCTCCCACCGCGCAAGAATGTGATCAGCTTCCTCGTAGTTGAGTACACTAAAGGAAGAGGGCTCGACCCATTCAAACTTGCGCATGTTGGCGAGGAAACCATACTCATCCATGATTTCTGCGATGGTCTCAGCATGTTCTTCGCCGAAGTTGCGGGCAGCGAATCCAGCAAGCCACTCAGGCACAGACGACTCGTCGTAAGAGTCCATGTCGTAAGCGATATCGAACCAATGGCTGATGGCGATCTCAGCAGGCTTGATGTCACCAACATTGACGATCCAGATACGGTCAGCCTCGCGGTCCTTGGCCAACTTCATCTGCTCATATGTTTTCTGAAGTTGGATGGTATCCTGCCATTTGAAGTTACGAGAGTCACCGACGTAATCAAAGTGGTAGTAGACACCAGCACCACCAGATCGCTTCTTCTCGTCGCCGACTGGGAGACGGCGAATGTTTTGCCAGTTGTCTTCGGTCCAGAGGAGGGTGACCCAGTCGGGAACCTGCATTCCAGCTTCAAAGTAATCCTGAACTTCCTTGTACAAGCACCACATCTGGGGTACTTCAGACGCATTTCCATGGATTTTGTTGAGAATGTCTTGCTGAGCATCAACAACAGCCTCAAGGACCGAGGTTTGAACATCGGCGGACATTGCTGTGTCGTGATATCCGCGCATGCCTACTGTGACGACATTCTCATATGGCGCAGCGCGCTCGGCACCCTCGTAGAAGTAGTCGTAAAGAGTGGCGTTGTTGGTAGCCCAAGACCAGCCAGATTCAGCACCCTTGGCGACTTTGCTCCATTCCTGAGTGGCGCGGACCATGGGCTCGGTATGCGACGTTCCCATCACGATACCATACTCATCGGCCAGCGGCTGGTTGCGTGCATCGTCCACGTTGAACATGCCGTTCCACATAGCCGGCCAGAGGTAGTTGGCCTTGGATCTGAGCAGCAGTTCGAAAACCTTGGAGTAGAATTGTGCTCCAAAAGGTGCGCCATATGGAGACAAAGGATACCGGTCATTTGCCCAACCGGTCAGGGCTGGTGCTTCGTCGTTGATGAAGAATCCTCGGTACTTCACGGATGGTGTCTTCTGGACTTTTGTCGTTTGAAGCAGGTAGATAGAATCGTGTTTCTTCGCGGGTACATCAGCGAACCAATGCCATGGAGAGACACCGATCTGCTCGGATACATCGTAGATACCATAGATGGCACCACGGCGATCGCTGCCTACGAAGAGTTAGCATTCGGCAACTATGATGGCCATGTTATACACACCAGCAATGACGAGCGCGTCACCAGTCATATTTCCAACACCATGTACCACAGTGCTAACATAGGATTCCCATTGACCTTCAACCCCGCTAACATCAAGCTGTCCGCTTGATATCAAGTCATCGATCAGACTTGAGTTACCAATGGTACCCACAATGATAGTTCCTCCGGTAGCACTAGAAGCAGTACTGCCGCTAACGCTCCAATCATCGCTGATGCCAGTGACATTGAAGATCATCGAAGCATTGGCTGTTGCCGTTCCAGAAGCTGTGAGTGTTCCATTGGTACCGGTAACACGTCCGAAGTCGATAGCAAGGTCGTGAGCGGCGCGTAAAACACCAGGCCAATCCGCAGCATCAGCATGGATACTGACTGGTGAGCCACGAGAGGCAAGAAGAGTTCCATTGCCGGTTGAGGTTGTAACAGTGGGCTTGCGGAAGGCTTCAACAGCGGAAGCAGATCCAGCAAAGGCGACCGAGAGCGAAAGAGCGCCGACCACGGTGCGAGAGAGGAGCTCCATGATGCTTGGTCAGTAGTTGAGCAACGTCCTGAACAATGCCAGAAGGCTCGCGGAGATACCCTGCTTTTGAATGCTTCCCCAGACCATCGCCTCGTGGTAGAGGCCCTTGCCCCCATAACCAAGATTCTCCACCAACCTATTCCTTTAATCAACTAGTAATCGTGCATATCGTATATCACCTACCCGTCAAGTACCTAGCAACTGCAAATCCAGGTACGCATGCAGTGCTGGCCAACGACGGCCCGATATGACAAACCCTAGTCGTTTACCCCAGCCGGGACCGGTTGTTCTGCATGGCTAAATTGAGGTGACGTACAGCAGCCAGTCGCGTTCTAGCTGCAAGACTTCTAGAAGAGCATTTAATGTGTCTTGGCGGCAAGTCTGGGTACACGTGCAGCATGCAAATATCCGCATCCTTGCAGAACACATGGAAATTCAGTATAGGTGGAGATGCGTGATTGAGCGATGGTCGACGGGAATCCAGACATGCGGATGTCATGTCTATGATGCTGAGACCACGGCGAAATTGTTCCGTGTAGCCTCGTCGTCGCCCGACGCCGTCACCAGCATGTCAAGGCCTGAAGCTCTTCCAGGAGCGGAGATTTGCACCAAGGGCGAAGGCGGAGGCTTGGAAAACGGGTCCTCGGCCTCAAGGAGAGTCTCCCCACGTTGGGTGAAAAGGCTAAATGCACTCCCCCGCAAAGGACCATGCCCATGTTAGCTAGCGCAGCGGCAACGCCAAGGATCGCGAAAAATGTTGGAAAGCGCGACTTTCAATTATCCAAAGCAGCCGTCTTCGCCCTACACCGCAACCAAGTCCTAGTGGAGATCTCGCGGCTCGTACTATCGCTGTGATTAGTCTTCGGATTCCAATCACCCGAACAAGCTCTGTTCCGATCCGATTCGACAAGAATAGACTTTGCGCAAGCCTCCGCCCGCCTCTCTGCCCCACGCCTCACAACCTGACCTCCGCAATGGCTCAAGGTGCCGTCAAGAAACCCAAGGCCGCTGCTCCGAAGAAGTAAGTCTAGCTCCGCGCTCGACCTCCCACGCGCTCCTGCTGACAACATGCTTCCAGACCAACCCAGCGAGTCCAACGCGGCGCCCGTGTCATCAAGCCCAAAAATGCCGCGATAATAAAGCAAAACAAGATTGTGCACAAGAGCAGCTCTGGGCTGATAGGACAGACCGAGAAGCTCCTCGCGCAAAAGGCCGGACATCTGGAAATGCTCAAGGGAGGAAAGAAGGACAAGAAGGAAGGCGGTGACAAGAAGAAGTCTGGTTGAAAAGTCGCCATGGCACCACCAAGTATTTGGCGAGGCGCAGAGACTTGTCGCCGTGCAGATCCAAAAGCTCAGCATAAACAGCAGGACTCGGACGTATAAGGGACTTTGCATGCGATAAGCGTGGTCAGCAGTATGGAACCACGAGCCTGGTGTGATGCTATCGTGTAACCCAAGACAGGCCCCAAGTGGCTACCTGCGAAAACCGACGGCACAAGGTACACTTGGACATAATGTGGGAGTTGGAGCAAGCATATGGCGAACAAAGTCGTCTATTCGTAGGGCAAATGCTGAGCTCAATCCTGTGAGTCTCCAAGTAGCATACCTAGCGCCTTGCCGTCACCAGAGAAATGAAAGGAACCGTAATCTCGTCGTCGTGTTCTCAAATGATACCCGCTCGTGCAGCTTCGCCGCCTCCAGCATCGACGACTGCTTCCCTAGCCTTTCCTCTGCCTAGTCCTCCCTCTCCAACTCCCATCCGCCTTGCAACATAGCGCTGTGCGACGATGCCTACACTCAAGTTGATTGTCTCTTCCATCCACTCACTAACCCATTCTCTTGGATCCACACCGCCGCTTTCGATAATCTCGTAGATCTCTTGTGGTAGTTGCTGTTCCTCGCCTGCCGCCTCGGTGTTGGCAGGCGCATCTAGCCAGTCCACCCATTTTGACGGGAAAGACTGGCTGACAGACTTGAATGAGATGCCATGAATTGGATCATGGAGATAAACTGCAAACGCTACCTCTTCCTCGTCATCCTTTGGCTCTTGAACTTCCGACTTCTCTTCCGACGACGATGTGGCGAAGAGGTCGTCTTGTGCGGGATAGCTGACGGCTTGAATTGCGATGAAAATGTCGCTACTCCGTACTGGGTTTGTCTCACTTAGGACTTCTGTAGCTTGCTTGGCAGCTTCTTCTACACCTCCCCTTGCACCGAAGAATTCATTCGCGTATGACTCGGCGCTGACTCTTGCGAGCTTGGTGCCCTCTACAAGCCCTTTGACTACTGAAAGATCGCGTTTGTCTGTGTGTCGCCACCATGGTCCGTCGTTCCAGCCTCCACCACCGCCTCGGTAGCCTTCCAACGATCCACGCTGTGTTGACTCTGAGCCTCGCTGAATGACCATGAGGTCGCCGCCTTCTACTTGTGCCATAACTTGGGCAAAGGTCTGGTAGATGAGGGGGTCGAGCGAGGGATATCCGATAAGATCGTGTGTAATATGGATCTGGAGGCGTTCATGTTGTGAGATGGGCGGCGCGAGGGTATTCAACAGGTTGGTGAAAGTAGGTACGGCACGCTTGCCAAGTTCGCCGCCTACGTGTTGTTAGATTGATACGTCACACAGGATGAAATGGAGTTGTACCAATGCCACGGAGGGCCCCTACGTTCCCTCGTACTTGCTCTGCCCACCGTTGAGCCTCTTGGTTCTTCTGGATTTCCTGGTAAGCGGCTTCTGCTTGCTTCCTTGCAGTCTCAGCAGCTGCAGTGGCTGTGGATACGAGTCCTCCCCATCCGCCTCCCCACCATGAACCCCCTGACTGCTTCTCCTCACGAGGCTCGGGTGCACGAGGTTTGGCAGGCTCCTCTTCGGTTGGCGCAAAGCTCTGGTGGAAGGAACGAGTACTCTCGCCTGACTTCCTCGGCGGCGCAGGCTTGTTGTCCTCGCTCGTGCGTGCTGAGCCAGCAGAAGAGGGAGTGGCCACGCCTGGGGCGCGGCGGGTGCTAGATGTAGTCGACGACGATGACACTTTGGGTGTGTTTGGTCGACTGACTTGGCGTGGGGCTGCTGGTTGAGACTTTCCAAGCTGCTCCAACTCCTCGAGGTCCTTTAGTGCGTCATCATCTTCCTGCTTCTGGATCTTCTGTCGTGGCGCGCGAGACCCTTTAGTATGCTTCGGCGGGGGTACGGGAGCCTCAGCCAACATCTCCAGCTCGGCGAGCTCCTCGTCGGCGGTTTTTGGTGGCATGATGGCTGAGAACTGGGGAGATGCGTCCTGAATAATAGTCGCCCCAATGGCAAGTTACCCAGAAGGTGGAGATGCGTCTATTGAGCGGATATCACTACAATATCCAAGTCATGGCCGCATTGTTTGGACCATCTCACAGCTAGATGCCAGTCAATTTAGCGTCTCGCGGTCATTGGCCGCCCGAGCATGCGCCAAGCGCATCATGGTTCGGCTCGCTTTTGCTGAAGCAGCCACGCCCCGAGACAAAGATCATCACACGCCGATTCACTGACTATTCCATTTGACATTTCCTTTTCTTGATACTCTCTATCAACTGCTTGCCCGTGTTTGCGCACATTCATTGCTGGGGCGCAACGTTTCGTTCATCTTCTTTGCCTGCAGCTTTTGTCACCCTGAAGGCTTGCGATTCGCGCTACGCCTCCCTGGGCCCCTACATGGAGACATTGCCTCGCCAGGTACACACCAAAACTCAACACAACATTCATTACTCGCATTGGTCCACACTATCATCCTGATGCCACGTCCAAGGGGTGCGGCTACGCGCGCAGCTCCACGTCGCAATTCCTACCAAGATGACACGCCTTCCCGGACTCGTGGGCGAGGAGCAAAACAAGCCCCATCAGAATCAGATGCGCCAGACACGGTTGCACCAAGGTTCAGTCCTACCAAGCTGAGTCCAACCATTACCAGAAAAACCACTCGTTCTGCCTCCAACATTTCTGGCAACTCCTTCGAAGCTGCACCTGAAATTTATGCCTCGTACGAGCATCCATTATTTATGGTCTTCGGCCTCTCTCCCGAGTTCTTCGATGGTCTCAAGAAGCATCACGGAAAACTTCCCAAAGAGCGCAAATCGCTCGTGGGATCTCTGATGGAGCGATCGCTTAGCCCAGAAGACGAATCTGACTCTGAAGAAGAGAGTGCGGAAGAAAGTGAAGTTGAAGTGCCTGTTGCACCTCAGCCAGCGCCAAGAGGCGGCCGTGGACGCGGTGGTCGAGGCTCACGTGGTGGACGCGGCCGAGGCAGTCGCGGCGGCAGAGGTAGCCGGGGTGGAAGGGGTGGAAGAGGAGGAATCACGAAAGCGACCGCATCCGCCTCAAAAGCTGCTCGTAATGCTGCTGCCATTTTTCCATTTACAGAAGATGATGATGATCAACCGTCCAATCAGAGCACACCCAACGGCAATGCCAAGCCAACCATGCGACTACACAACCTTCACTCTGCGCAAAGTTCCGAGGATGAAAACGAAGAAGCAATTGAAGATGACGATAGCGAGGCTGAGTTTGATCGCATAGACGTCATACATAAACCATCAAGGACGCCACAAGGTTCTGCGCCACCTGGCCAGGACTCTTTCGACGACGATGCCCACACATCTGCCCCAGCGCCTGAGTCCAGATCCGAGCCTACGTCCAAGAGATCGGGCAAACTTGCGGTTCCCAAGATTGCTCTGCCGGACTCGGCTTCGCAGACGCCACGGGAATCCGCTTCAACACCTGCAGAGTCTGCGGTTCCAAAACTGCTGGATCCTGAAGAGGACGTCCTCTCTGAGTCGGATCTGCCCGATCCTTTTGTTGAAGATGCACCTTCTCCAATCGAGGCTGAGTGCGAAGATAGAGCAGACTACCTCTTGCAGAAGCGCTTCAAGCCGATGGCTGATGTACAAGCTGCTATTGCAGCTCTGACGAAGTTTCCGGCGGCGCAACGAAGTACTGAGAATCTCTATGCACTGACGCAAAATGCGCAACAGATTCTCAAAGCGTGGCAAGATGAATACCTCATGTTAGATGCAAGAGTAAGTCACTGCCATTCCTCTACTCTCACCCACTAATAGTTCCAGACCGCACCTCACATGCACCCAGCCAAGAAAGCCTGTAATGGTGGGCGTATTCCTCTGGCCCCGGAGATCTTCGAAGATATGAAGGAGGCTGATCTATATGGCTATGTCTACGACCCGAAGAAGCCTCCAGGCTGCCAGGATCCTTGGGCACAGCGACCAGGTGCAGAGAAGGGTGGCCGGAGAGAGCTACGTACACGTCGCACACGTGACATGCTAGAATCAGCAGCTCCTAGCGAAGACGAAGGCGAAGAAGACGAAGAAGGTCGGCCATCAAAGCGGCAACGAAGGGCCACCCGCAAGTTCGATGGCACTGATACCGGGACTGGAGCCAATACCCCCAAGAAACACAACGGATGGGGCGGTGCACGCAAGAAGGGGGTTAGCCGATTTGCAAAACCGACCTCAGAGACACCGGAACCAGAAGGAAGAGGCACGAAGCGAGCACGAACAACGGCTAGTAATTTACTCCATCAACGCATCCAAGAGATGCGGGAAGAGTCGGTTATTGGCAGTTCCGGAGATGAGGAGTCCTCAGCAATGGATGTCGACGAATACTCCGACGCAAACCCCAAGCGCGGACGTCCAGCTGGTAGTAAGAATGTAGCTCGGCGTAGCGACTATGGGGTGAAAAAGGGTCCACGAAAGAAGACGAGCGAATCCGGAACCCCGGTTCCTTCAGCACATGGTCCGAACGCTCCGCCACCCGCACTGAACTCAATGAGTGAAGGTCAAGGTCAGTTTACCATTGATGCCCAGCCTTTCCCGGATGGCATACCCTTGATGGCACCGAACTCTGCTGAGACGGTTTTCCAAGGCACATCACAGCACACCGCGCCACCTCAAGAAGTGCCGCTTGTGCATCCAAGTGAGTCTAGTACGCCTGACGCATATATGCTCACTGCACCGCTGAGCCAATACACGAATAACTATGTCGACGAGTCATCCCCGACTTCAGGCTCGAGACGAAAACCGCGTGTGAAGAGTGAGAAGCGAAGCCAGTCTATGACGATGTGGTGGGCTGAACGCAAGGCGAAGAAGCGTGAGCAAGACGAAAAAGATGGAAAGCCTGCAAAGCCCACTCCCTCGCGCTCGAATTCATCAAACCGGAGGGGTGCGCGGCAGTCTGGAGGCTCGGCAACTGGCGCGACGCCCCAACCACAGGCTTCAGAGTCGCAACAAGCATCTCCAATCCACCATCCTCAACATGCTCCTCCACAACACAGCCCTCATCACGCCCCTCCAGAAGCATACCTTCAGTACACTCAAGGTCCTCCTGGCCCACCGGGTCATTACATGTATGTCAGTGGGCCACCCCCACCACCACCGCACCACATGATGATGCAATACTCGCCACTTGCGGCGTTACCAACCGGCTCTTTCCCGAGTCCATATGCCCACCATCCGCCCCATCCTCATTCAGGTATTCCCCTTACTCAGCCTCCGAGCTCCGCGGGTGGACCATTTGGAGCTGGCCCCCGTCAGCTTGCTCCCGCACCCATGGGCATGCCCACATACCCTAGCCCGTACGGACCTCAAAGTCCAGCAGGTGGAAGGCCAAAGAGCAGTGGTCAGTCCTTACCGAGAAGTACTGCTACAGTGCAGAATGGACAGCAGGTGCTGGCACCTGCTCCATCTCAGCAACAACCTCAACAGCCACAAGGGCAGCACTTCAGTCCGTATGCGCCGGTGAGCGCGGGAGGTGCTGCGGGTCGGGAGATGCCTTTCAAAGTCATGGTACCTGGGCCTACGCCAGAAAGGAGAGGAAGTCGTTAGAAACGGCTGTCTCCTCGTAATAAACAGGCTGTTGGAGCAGGCGATGAGAGTGATGATAGTATATACGTGCTTGATTGATTGATTGATTGATTGTTTGTTTGTTTATTTTGCTTTGCGGTGAGCAGAGCTGGGAATTGTCGTGCGTGGTAATGAAAACAGGCTGTCAACGAGCCTTTGTATTATAGTAATCATACTGAAACTTTCACCTACACATCTTCTGCGCCCAGTTCCTGCATGCATACAACAAGCTGATGCAAAATCTATTGATCTTTACGACCCATTCCCTACCTCTTCTATTTATAGTATAGCCTTGGGTTTCATCTCTATTCCGACCGTGTGGTCTATCGTTGCAATGTTTCATTCGACCAGAGCTTATCTCAATGACCATGTAGCTGGAGAAGCCTATACCACTAAGGCCTGAGATTACTAGCCCCAACGATTGTTCGTTCAACGCACGCACATTCGTACCGTCTTAGACAATATGCTTACCAACATGCCCTACGGCTCACTGACGAATCTCTAAACCATCAGCAGGCATATATCAGCATACTTACGACCATTCACTAGTAGAAACCCCACTAATCTCAGCGCAATCTGCACGAGTACTCAGTCTGACTGGCCACGCTTCCATCTGGACGATAAGGGTCAGCAGCCTTCAGATGGACTATAATTCCCTTCTCAACACGAAACTAGTGATCACCATTTCGGTGGTAGGGAAATGAATCTAAGACACCCATACAACTAGTCTGGGAGTACGGAAGCGACTGTCGGGACAGGCTGGATCAAGTTTGAGGTGAACGCCCCAGATGAAGTAAAGAGAAAAGAGGGATACTTCACGTCACAAGAGGAACAGGTGTAGCAAGTCAGATGAAAGTACATGCTGTAACTGAGACGATGAACAGCACGCTCGTATCATGAGATACGCATGATTAAATGGCAAGAACGCCAATCATGATATTGTGAGTATATTATCTCACTTTATGTGAAACCCAAGAGTTCGCAAACTTGGTCCTATCCTACGGTCTCATATGGATGAACTACTTTCACATGTTATTTAACCTGATCACTGCCAGCACTCAGTTGCTCATGACCATGAAACTCCTGACTCATATTTACCTAGAAACCCAGCCCTAGTGCCAGAAGAATATTTATGAGTGGCCTCGACGATACTTCGTCCAATTAGTTCGCCAGCAGCTCAAGCCCCTTACCACTCGGGACGCTCTGTTCGCAGGACGAGCCAGCCTTGGGAATCGTGTGAAAGAGGGCAGGGTGTGAGAGGGCATTCGCCGTACTTGTGCTTCAGAGAGCACCTCCAGCGTGCGCACTGAGTGTTGTTCTCGACGCAGTTGCGGCACCTGGCACCGTTGTCGCACGGCAGATTCTTGTTGTAACACTCAACGCACGAGATCACTAACTTGGGAAGTTTGCTGGTCCCAGAAGGTTTGACTACGTGTGCAGCGCCACAGAGAGACTCGCCATGGTTAGTGATTTTCATCAAACGGCTCTGGCTCTGGCTGAGTTGCGCCTCAATCATTTTGAGCTGGTTGCGCTGGCGATCGCAAGTACTGGTCTTCTCCATAAGCTTGCTCTTGACATCATCGATATCAGCTTGATTGCTCTTCTCCTGGGCGGCCTCAAGATCATCTTCTAACCCAGCGACCTTGAGCTGTTCAGCCACGATCTGGTGGCGTAGATCGGTTATGAGCTTCTCTCGCTGAGCCAGGGTGTCGGCTAGGTTGCGGGCTCGGTTGAGGTGATCAACGGAGTTCGTCCAAGCGCGGGATGCCTCGTCCCGTTCGCGAGTCACCCGGTCGATGGTACGTTCACTCTCTTTCATCTTCTGCCTGAGGTTTTCCAGCTCGTGGTCTTTTGCGGAAAGAGCGTTCTCTGTCGTCTTAATATGTCCTTTTAACTCGTCAATCTCAAGCTGTTGTGTCTTGATCTTGATCTCTTTCTCAGACAAAGATCGACCCATTGCTGCCTTCTGAGCTTTGTTAGCTTCGTTCTGGTATTTGAGTTTGCCGAGCCGCACGCTGATGTCGTGATCAACGTCTCGAAGGACTGCGTTGTTTGTTTCGAGGGTCGAAAGTTGACTCTCTAGCTCCAGCTTCTGCTTCTTGATCGTGTTGAGCTCTTTGCCCAAGGACTCCCAGTTCTGCTTGGTCACCCGTACAACGGCTTCTTGATCGAATCGGAAGCCTGATGGTGAGTACTGGAGCGATTCAGTGGGGGTGGGTGGATGGGTGGGTCCTACACCTGCCGGTAGCTCAAGGCCTGAGATGAGGAGCGGCTGCTTGCACAGTGGTGATGGTGAACGCCTACGACGATGATGATCGCATTCGCTATCGTCGTCGCTTTTGTAGCTGATGATTGCCTCGGCCATAGTTTCGAAGAGTCTCATGTTCTCTGGACGGTACTCCAAGATCGGCTCGGAGGCGACAAGTGGTGGTGCCGCGAGCTCTTGTTCCTGGAGGAATGCAGCGACGGATTCGGTAGGCTGAAACGACCTTGCCAGCGGAGAAAAAATGCTGGAGCCAGACTGGACACGACTGGCGAAACGAGGGCCTGTATGGCTTTAGCTAAAGGTCAGAACGATACGCCGTTGAAGCACCTACCATTGGGCGCGACAGTGAGCGGCTGCGGAGGTGGCGCAGGCGTCGAAATCGGTGTATACAGCTTCTTAGCCCTCATCATGCTTGCAAGGTCGGAGAAGCTGTCACGGTGAGTTGGCTCTACGCCCTTGTTTGCGAGCGTCATCTTGCCGACGAGACCGTTAGTAGTGCTCTTTAGAGAGGCACTGTCACCGTCAAGGTCGATGAGATCGTGAATCATGGTCGTGTCACGAAGGAGGAAAAGAGACGACCTTGTGAGTGGACAGCTTTTATGATTGTGCCCGGTTGAGGTGAGAGAAATCGCAGTCACCGTAGCGCCAAACGTGGGATCAACTCTTGGGGGCAGGAGCGGTGGACGCGCGGCAACAACATACCGTTGAGCGAACCTAGATACTGGAAGGTGAAGTCCATGCAGGAGCATACAACAGATGATGGGTGAAATAATGAGATTCAGAATGGTAGATGGTAGATGGAGATGTAGGTAGCTCGGGAAGTCGTTCGCATGGGCAGAGCATGCCCTAGAGTATACGAGCTGTTTTGTCTTGTTAGCGCGTTGACTCGAACTACCTCGCATACCTCCAGGCTACATGAAAGTCAAGTACGACTTACAAAGGACACGCATGGTATACTCCAAGTTGAGGTTTCTCCATAAAGATCCGACCGCATGCTTGGTAAACTTGTTCTTCGTGCTGATGGCTTCCTGGGGTCATGCCTGGGTATCAGTCTTCCTTTGGTTCATCACTCCGAGTTTAGTTTGATCCTCCAATAGGCTCCCTCTTCTTCATATTCTTCTCAAGCGCGGTTCACTGTACAACCGTGTCCTTCAAACGAACGTATCGTGACTGCATAATCTCTAATTCCGTCAACGCTACTTCCCAGCACCTTCATTAGCTCTTTCCGGTGTTGTCAATAAGGTATACTGGACGGCAGCTATAGATGGAATGAAGGCGGCTTCGACGACGACATCATGTAAGTCCAGTGAGAAGCCAACGGTAGCATCGTCGTTAGTAGCAGATTATCCTACGCATCCTTGTATAGACCATGCACCAAGCGGAAACTCAGACTGAAAAGCATCACATATGGCTGTTTTGACCACGACAAGACGAGAGCATGATTAATCTATGAACATGACTTGATAGTATGAGAAGTGAAAGATTGTGGACGTGAGAACTGAAATGAATCACTGCGATAGCTCGATGATTTGAACGGTTGTATTTCAGACACAACCTCAGAGCCAAACTTACGATCTGCACATGCTTGAACCCTGAACTTGTGGCCAGTATTTGAGATCTACTCTGACCATCAATCGCATCACAGATCGGAAATGGTACGAACGAATGACGAGAGATTGACATATTTGACTTGCGCAGCAACGATTCCGGAGGGCCATCAGGTGCGTATGAGGTTCAAGCATGTTGTCCTGATGGCAGTGATGTTCATAGGGTGTTCAGGAATCTTCTTGATCACCGGCCAAATCGCTTCAATTCCCATGCTCTCAAAGGAGGATAGACAATTGCAGCCCACGCGAAACCGACAAAGTTGCCCATCTGATCACGTTAGTTACAAATAGCTCAAGGTTTCAGCTTTTACTTACATCGGCTCCGTAAGTTCCAACCTGTTTAGCGATTGGTCCAATGTACCAAACCTGAGCCATACACATGATTGCGCCGATCCAACCAATAACGAACGCTGTAAAAGCGGCGATACCGAGTGGTAGCTTTTTCTTCTGATTCCAGACTTGCCAGTTGAAGCCGGTCTTGCGACAGAAGACCAAGTGCTCTTCCAGGATAACCGCGATCCAGACAGAGACCCAATAGCCCATGAGAGCTAGAAAGTTGGTGAAAATCTCAGCAAGATGTGCGCGTCCGGCTAATGCGCAGACTGTATAGATGACTACACCAACGGTATTCCATATCACTCTTGGTATAGCACCCGCATAACGTCCCAGTATCTGCGCATCAATCCCGGAAGAGTACGTAGGGACAATGAGGTTGGCGACAAGACCCAAGGCAACCACCACGCCGCAGAAGGAACCGAACGCGCCTAGCGGTTTGTACGCTTCGACTATGAGAGCGCCTTGCGATATTCCGTACGCTGCTTCCCAGTCCGTGTTGGTCAGCATACCGCATGCGAGGCCGATACCCAAGATGAAGGCGAAGGTGAAACTGCACATTAGACCTAGCATGGTCATGCCAAATATTTTGAATGACGATGCGTGTTCCGGGTAGTAGACGAAGTAGTCGGCTGCTCCGCCACCGTATGTGATAGCTGCGGCGAGCGTCAAGCCGAAGAAGCTGATGCGATTGCCAATGATAGTGTCTGGGTCTTCATCTCCGTGAGACTCAGAGGAAATATTAAACTGCGGACCAGCAAGGCCAGCTAGGATGC